TTTTTACCTGATCTCTTCATCTCCTCCACACATTCATTAGCTATCAAAATCTGATCTACTATTTGTTTGCCTTGTACAAACGCACCTTGAGCTTGACTAATTAGAGAGGGAAGTACCACTTTAATCCTCAAGGATAAGGCCTTAGCCAAAATTTTGTAAACACTAGTCACCAAGCTAATTGGTCTGAAGTCCTTAGGATGCTTAGCGACAGCCTTCTTGGGAACAAGAGCTACAAAAGTAGCATTTGCTCCAGGACTAACAACATGATTATCCTCAAACTCCCTAAAGACCACAAATAAAAGGCCATCATGAATCCATCTGGCCCAGGAGCCTTAGATCTATCCATTAAGAAAACTGATTGTCTAATCTCTTCCTCCTCAAAATTTCTTTCCAGTCATCCCCTCTCCCTCTCAGAAAGATGTAGCCAGTCTAGACCATCCACTTCCACCCTACAATCAAGAGGTCTTCTCAGAATTGACTTAAAATGATCTACAAAGCATTTGGCTATCTCTTCTTGAGAGGAGATTTCCTCTCCAATCTCAAGTTGTGCTACAAAATTTTTCCTCCTTCTCACATTGGCCATCGCATGAAAAAATTTTGTGTTCCCATCTCCTTCCTTGATCCATTTAAACCTTGATTTTTGCCTCCATGAAATCTCTTCTCGCAGCAGGACCTCTTCTAATTCCTTCTTTAAATTCCATCTCAACTCTCATTCTTGTGCATTCATAGTCCTTTGGGATTCCTTTTTGTCCAATTCTTCAATCTGAGTCAACAAGGAAGATTTTAAATCATCTAACCTCCTAAAATGGTCCATGTTCCAGGCTTTCAGTTTTGTCCTCAATTTTATTAGTTTTTTTATGAAAACTAACTCCTTTCCACTTCACCCCCCTTAGCTCTTCACTCCACCAGCTCTCAATATTTTTTACAAAGTCTAGGTGAGTCAACCACATATTCTCAAATCTAAAGGGCCTAGGTCCAGAGTCTAAGGGTTCCTCTCCTAACTGAATAGGGCAGTGATCCGAAGTAACTCTAGGTAACCCTTTAGCCATCAACCCCCTCCATTGATTCTCCCAGGCTTCATTGAACAAGAATCCATCTAGCTTTGAACATGTTGGGTTTTCCTGAAAGTTGAACTAGGTAAAATTGGCTTGCAAAAGAGGAATCTCCTTCAGCTCACAAGAGTTAATAAAATCATTGAATTTCCTCATGCTAGTAGTGATGGATTGATGAGGGTTATTTGACTCCGTTGTGAACCGAATAACATTGAAATCTCCACCTAAGCACCAAGGACCCTCCCATAATCCTTGAATGCCATACAACTCCTCCTACAATTCATTCCTCTCTCTATAATTATTGGGCCCATACACATTGGTTAGCAGCCAAGTAAAATCACCCTCCACCATTTTGGATTTCAGAGACAGAGAAGTTACCTACTAATTCCTCAACTGCTTCTACCACATCTTCTTTCCACAAGGTAATTATCCCCCCTGAAGCTCCCCAAGTGGAAGTTGAAGCCCAACTAATCCCTCTTGATTTCCACACACTTCTAGCCCACCTTCTATCCATCCCTTCTAATTTTGTCTCTTGTAGCATAACCACATCAGGCCTTTCCCTTCTAAGCATCTCCTTTATTAGTCTTCTCTTCCTTGCACTTCCAAAGCCCCAACCATCAGCCAGACTGTTTGCAGATCTCCTAATCCACTTTATTTGGATCAGCATGTCATTAGATCTCCTAATCCATATTACTCCTTCCCCCTTTTTCAGCCAGCCCACAACTATGATAGTTTATG